ATTTTGGCGATATACATCATGGTCTTATAGAACTTACTAAAATATTACGGCCTTACAACATGTAGTTTAATTTTAACAATTCATCAAAATTTGAGAAAATGAGTAGTTTTTTGACGTTTGTTAAAAATAAAATTAGACGATTCACTTGGTATAACGATAGATTACTTGGTCTTAATAAACGCAATAAATCATTAAAGTCCTACGGAAACTGGTTCAATTAAAAAATTATTGATTTTTGAAAATTTGCTTTTAGAAAATACTTTGTTAACATGTTTGTTCGTTTTCAATTATGTGTAATAAATCCACTCGGAATACTTTTAATCACTCATAAATTAATTTATTTTTTATTGATTAAGTCGATTATTTACACATATCGGGAAGTTCATGTAACTTGCCTCAAGGCTAAATACCAAACCAACTAGTTAATTGATGTATTGCCTTGAAGATTGAATCTCACATATTTCAACATCAAACTTATTAAAATTTTAATATATATTTATATATATATATATATATATATATATATATATATACTAGCTGGTCCGGCAAACGTTGTTTTGCTAATAAGGTATATTCTAAACAATTTCTAGAGAATCGAAAATATTAATACTTCAAGTGCAATAAGGATGTGTTGTTTGAATGCTATAGACAATGAGGTATTATAAAAAGAATAAACCCAAGTAGTTTGTCTATATTTTGTCAATACAATCAAACTGGAAGATTTATACACTTTCTATAGAAAACATAGTATAATGCATCCAAGTCTTTTTTGGTCTTTCGACTTATTGATTACGTTTCAAGTTTTTCAGATTCTTTTTGGATTCTGTATTTTGTGTATAATTGTAAATAATACTAACAATTTCTGCGAGGAGAGATAGAAAATGAATTAAGTTAAGTCTTTGACCTGCTTTTTGAAAAGTTTCAAGTAACATTTGATGGATAAAAGTAAATTTAATAAAAAGTATGTATGTAGAGCAGGGCGAGGCACAAAGGTCCAATTTGACTTTGAGAAAATATAAACTATATTGTGAAAACCATAATAATTATATCACAACAAATAACACATATCAAACGAACAATTATCTGTAAACTACGTTCAGTAAACTGCCTTCTACTTCATCATTGTAGAAATGTGCTTTTTTAATATCTTTCAAAAATTTATTATCTAGACCTTTTTACACTATAGGCGGGGTAACTTGAAACGGCCAGGTGGTAAAAAGGTTTAAAGCCTTATTATAATTTTAAAGGTATTTTACAAAATAATTACATTTTTAACTAATGCTAAAAAACTACCAACGGAAGAAAATACTTTTATTATGGATTTCAAAGAGAAATGTTCATCCCTCATTTCAAAGATTACCGTTTTCAAATCAAGGTTATAGCTGGTTATACATATTTTTTCCTGTACTTTCAAATATTGTTGTTAAACAATGTTTGACTTTACTGATTTTTGACACATCGGTGGTGGACCTTTTTAACCCCGGACGTTCATATATTACTATCTATTCTTCGATAAATTGTGGGAAATTATAACTGGGAAAATGTTATTCGACAAAATGTCCATTTGATCGATACCAAATTTAGTTCTGAATTTAAATAACATTAATAAAAAATAATATAACCTAGAAAATGTTTTATAAATACCAATGAGTGTATAATTATACAAATGAGATCTATCAGAGCATCGTGTTTGAGAAAAATATGCCAAAAATTGCATTTTCATATTAACATTTCAAAAAAGTTGATATTTAGTTTCTAGTAACACTTGTGGCCCGTTTACTAACGTTTTTGTATACAAATAAAACTACAAACAAAACTACTTACTACAATTTAATCATAATTAAATAATATTCACGTAAAACATCTTATTAAATGTAATAAGATGTTGTCTGTCAAAATCGTTTGGCATTTCACGTATTGGCCACCGTCCATTGTTTTATTCAAATTACGCTTCTACAAAAATTTTCAAATTAAAAATGTAAAGTTTCTACGCAATTTTGGAATAATATCTCACCTTTTGGACTTTCTCTGGATTGGCACGAATTTTTCAAGACTAAAACTGGCCAAATTGATTCAGCCGTTTTCTAGTTTTACTTGGACATTTGAAAGAGAGCTCCATTTTTATATATAAGATATATATATATATATATATATATATATAAATATATAAGGTTGTCAAATATCTCCCTTCCGCCTTTTCGCGGCTATGTACAAAGCGCTACAGAGCTCGTATTTGGCAATACTATACATAATTTGAAAGGTCTTGACATAACCTACAAAACGACGCTATGCATGATTAGTTTGGATATTGCGTTCAACAGTTATAGACGTGTAAACATGGAGTTCACTAACGCCGAAATTCGCGCTATTTTAAAGTTTTCCTTCGTTAAGGGCAAATCCGCTAGAGAAACGTTCCGTGAGATTAATGGTGTTTTGGGGGATGGTACTCTATCACTTCGAACCGCGGAGGAATGGTTTCGACGATTCAGAGCCGGTGAAAACGACACCATGGATAAGCCAGCCGGCGGAAGACCTGTGACGACAAATACCGATCAAATCATGGAATACATCGAGTTAGACCGGCATGTGGCATCTCGTGACATCGCCCAGGAGATGGGAGTTAGTCACCAAACCATTTTAAACCATCTGCAGAAGGCTGGATACAAAAAAAAGCTTGATATTTGGGTGCCGCATGATTTGACGCAAAAAAACCTTCTGGACCGAATCAACGCCTGCGATATGCTGCTGAAATGGAACGAACTCGACCCATTCTTGAAGCGGATGGTGACTGGCGACGAAAAATGGATCACATACGACAATATCAAGCGAAAACGGTCGTGGTCGAAGGCCGTCCCAAACAGTGGCCAAGCCGGGATTGACGGCCAGGAAGGTTTTGCTGTGTGTTTGGTGGGATTGGAGGGGAATCATCCACTATGAGCTGCTCCCATATGGTCAGACGCTTAATTCTACCATCTACTGCGAACAACTGGACCGCTTGAAGCATGCGATCGACCAGAAGCGTCCAGAATTGGCCAACAGGAAGGGTGTAGTGTTCCACCAGGACAACGCCAGACCACACACTTCGTTGATGACTCGTCAGAAGCTACGGGAGCTCGGATGGGAGGTTTTATCGCATCCACCATATAGCCCGGACATAGCGTCAAGTGATTACCACCTGTTCCTGTCCATAGCGAATGCCCTTGGTGGTGTAAAGTTGAACTCAAAAGAGGCTTGTGAAAAGTGGCTGTCCGAGTTCTTCGCAAATAAGGAGGGGGGCTTCTACGAGGGAGGTATTATGAAGTTGCCGTCTCGAACAAAACGGCGCATATTTGAACTAAATCCGATCACTGTAACACTTTTTATAAAGCATTGAATAAAGAGAAAAAAAGCGGAAGGGAGATATTTGACAACCTTATATATATATATATATATATATATATATATATATATATATATATATATATATTCTACAAAATGTTCCCTTTGATCGATTCCAAATTTAGGTTTTTAATTTAAATAATCTAAATAAAATAACTATATAATCTAGAAAATGTTTTATAAATACTAATGAATATAAAATTACGCAACTAAGACTGGCCCAATTCGCACAGCCATTTTAAAGTTTTACCCCGATTGTTATATAGCTATATAAAATGGACATTTCTTCTTTATGAATTTGCTTGAACATATATAGATTTTCAACATGAGTACATATTGTGATAAATTTCAATGTGTTTATTTTGATTTTCCTTTTCTACAACTGTGTATCCAAATTAGTGGTATCTTTGTTATCACCATGACCACTATATAGTATGCTCGGGAAGTAATTGGGAAAAGACCCGATGAATAACAACATTAGTATCTAAACAACATAAGAAAAATTCTGTAAAAATTCTATTATTATCATGTGGGACATGTTTAACTATTTTAATTTTTTCATTGCAAATTGGAATTCTGGAAAAACTTCTTTCTATGCATTAGAAAGCCTATTCGGATGATGAAATCATGTAATATAATGCAAGTTCGTACTACTGATACTTTCCACTTTTCTGTGAACAGTGACATTTGTCAATCTCTAAAAATATAAATGCCAGGGACCATATAACTACAAAATTCTTTATAGTATTGTAATGAAAAATTTGTATTGTAAATAGATTGTACTATATATTCGAAATGATTACTTCCATATCTATTTAAACTTATGTGGATAATGTGAGCTTTATAAGCAATTTTCAAACAACTTTGTTTTCGAAGATTTTTATGAATATGATTTCAAAAATTACTATCTGTATTATAATCCAATTTTCTTATTCATATTGCTGTCTATTATAACTTGCAATAAGTGATTAGACAGAAATGTCTATGGTGTCCCCTTCGATGAATTCCAAATTTAGGATCTCAATTTGAATAACCTAAATATAATTCATAAAATGTTTTGGTAACACATTAAACCAATAACTACTTGCACAGCACAGCGTTTGAAACAAAATTATTTATTTATTCTTTCATAAGCAAGCCTTAATCAATATGAATAGTATTATTTCAAGCTCTTGATAAAATAATACAAAAAGGCAGTGAGCAAACACTTGAGATTTAAATAAAAACCTCATATAAAATCAAAATAAGCATTCTTATTAACATTTAAAAATATATAAATAATTAAATTTTAAAATTAAAAGAATAACACATAATCTGTTTTAACTTATCAAAACCATTTGACATATGAGTAGTATTCATCTGTCATTTGAATAATATTGTGTGGGAAGCCATTTTGAATCAAGTGCTGTTTACCAAAAATTTTCAAATTAAAAATGCGAAGTTTCTACGCGGATTTGAAATAATTTCTCACCTTTTGGACTTTCTCTAGATTGGCACGAATTTTTCAATACTAAGACTGGCCAAATCGGTTTAGCCGTTTTTGAGTTTTACTAAGACATTTGAAAGAGAGCTTCATTTTTATATATAAGATATATATTTATATATAATTGATTTTATTTTAGGTACAACAGATACAATAACTGGCCACGTAATAGAGGAAATTACAGTTCATACTCGAGCCTATCAGATCAAAGATATCATAAAATAAATTATAAGAACAACAATATTGCTAATATAATTAACATAGAAGCTGAATCAAAACCAAAACCCAAAGCTAGCGAAGAATCAATAAATCAGGTAACTTGAGCTATTATTTACTGCATCGCATTTTATTATATTATTTTTTCCTGACTTGTAACCTAATTTTAATTAGTTGTAAGTAGTATTTGCTCTTAATATATTAATAATACATACATTAATATACACTTAATCGTCCGAAAAAAAACACATTTTTCTAGAGTTTTTTTTGTGAAAACTATTAAATATATCCAGGGCCGTGCCTGGGTATGTGGCTGCCTGCGTGCGAGCATTTTTTGGCCGCCCTTGAAAATAATATAATAGGAAAATATCAAATATGTTCTCGACTTGTAATTTGTATGTTTTCTCTATGTTTCTAGTCATTCTGAATCGTTCGAGACCAAATTTGTAAAAAAGTGTGTATATGAGCCGATTTTTAATTTTTTGTCAACGTTTTCATTCGATGTAACTAGATAACGACTACCGTCTGTCAGTTTTGTACAACAATCGGCCAAACCGTTTCTAATCAATAGAAAAGTCTACAAATTTTCGTACATGTTTTAGCCAAAAATTCTGCATCGTTTTTAAACATTCAGAAACTGTTTGAAAGATATCATTTGTAAATCGTGCTGATTAGTTTTAAGAGATCGGACGGATCGTTTCTTGGTATTTAATTGTTAAATATTCATATCAATATATTTTTACGATGATATTTGGCGATAGAGATCATGAACTATATAACTAAATATTTCGACCTTACGACAAGTCGTTTTAATTTTCAAAATATTATCACAGTTTGAAAAAATGAGTAGCACTTTTTTACGTGAGGCAAAATTTCATCCTTGGTCGACGTTTTTTTAAAAATGCGCAATCTTATTTGAAAACATCTATGAAATTCAATAAGTACTCGTGCTGGTTACTTTTGCTACAAGATCGGCCAAGCCGTTTCTTTAGGATTGTCAAAAGTGTCAAATTTTTCGTCTACGATATAGTCTAAATTCGCGAATCGATTTTGAAAATCCAAAAAGCATTACAAAGGTACTATTTGAGAATCGTGCTGATTAGATTGTGTCAATGATCCGTCGAGTCGTTTCTCAGTTATTGATTAACAAATTTTTTTGGTGCTTTTGGATTCTGTTCTTAATGAACATACTACACGTTTTTTTCTTATCCAATAATATTTAATTTTGAAACCATTTATAAAAAATAACTAACATGTTTAAAAAATTTGTACAAAATTGAATAATCTGCGACAGTTTTTCACATTGCAATGCACTCATAAATTAATATTTTGTTTATAGTTAAGTAGATTATTTACACGTGTTCAAAAATACATGCATCTTACATTAAGGCAATGTTACACCTTACACCAAGTTTATAAACTTATTAATAATTTGGAAACAAAACTTTCAAAAGTCGCTTTTTAATACGATTTAGCTTTCAATACGCCCGCCTTCGGCTGATTTTGACTACGGTCGTCTTTTAACTCAGCGGATTTTCAATACTATTAGTTTGGCCGCCTCTTAATCTAGCCGTTTTTCAATTTGGCTGCCTTTTGATTCCGTGGACTTTCAATGCGACCGCTTTTTATTACGGCCGCTTTTTGTTATGGTCGCTTTTCGTGTATTGGCCGCCTTTACATTTTTTCGTTTTTTGATTTGGCCGCCTCTCGGCCGCCTCCAAAGGCGGCCGCCTGCTTGCGATGTTCGCACTGCACGCTGGCCAGGCACGGCCCTGAATATATCAAACATTTTGCAATATTCGTCGCAGTTATCAAACTCGAGTTAACTCGAGTTTTTTCTAGTCAGCTTTTCCGGCCTCAATTTATTGCAAACCATGCAAAAATCGATGTCTTCATTTGAAAAAACGATGATTTTCTTTGTTTTCTTTTTTTCTCAGCTGATTGTGAAGTATTGGCCTTATTGGAAACTTTCGCGATACTTGCGATTTTTGACGCTGTGCTGCTTCTGCCGCGATATCTCTGTTTTCAGGAGATGTAATATTACGCGTTTACATTCATTCCGTACAGAGTAGGTTTACAACCGCCTCTACATTCATTCTGTACATAGCGTAAGAATTTCTCAGCAAAATTTTTAACGCGTGTTCATTCATTCTGTACAGAGTAGGTCTATAACCGCCAAATGCTTTTTAAAATTGAGCGAGTATCAAAATGTGATAAATATGTGCGCAGTTTGAGTCTTAGTCATTCGGGTGGCTCACTCCACCATGCGACCCAAGTCTGTCCACCTCAAATATATTATCAAAGAATGCGCTAACTTTGATGGGTACACATTATTTTTCGCTAATTACTAAAGTAAAGTAGGTACATTATTTATTATTAATATTATTCAAATTAATTTTCTCAAATGTTACAGCAGTGTTGGTTATTATCTTTTTTTTGGAAAGAGGTAACATTGCATTTAACTTATACACAAACATTTATAAGGTCTGTTATTAATCCGCTTTTTTTGTTGTCATTAAATGATAACAATAAGGAATATCCATACCAAAAGTTTACAAATGAATTTAATCTGGTTTTCCCAAAGCCCGACATTCTATAAATTAGCCGGTTGTTTGAAAAATAAAAATCGATCAGCTAATCCAATGGTATCAGAAAAATATTGAATTTAATATTTTACATACCAATAATAATATGAAAATCAATCCTCGAAAAGAATATAGAAAGAACGGCAAAGTGATAAATTATTTAATAACTAGTGGTGTACTGCATCGTGCCTTAAGGCAAATTGTTTGTTTTTTTCAGTTCGATATATTTTGTAAATATGCTTTTTTCAATGCAATCGCACTGCTTTAGCTGCATAGAGACGCAATATTGAAGCGCGTAAGCGCCGCATCGCCGCCTAACGGTCAAACGATGTTACGAAATACATAGAAATGTAAACAAAATTGATACATATTATCAAAATCTGCATAAAATATCTGATAATTAGATAGCATATGTCTAATGATAATTTTTGACTTCACGATGGCATTTTTTTACTTTTTTTACTATATCTCCGAAACCGCTAGACCTGCCTTCCCAAAAATTTAATCAGTTCTTCATCTTGTCACTACAAGTAAAATGTTTTTGCCCCGTATCTTTGAAACGGCTAGACCTGCTTGTGCCAAAAACTAATCAGCACGTATCCTTATTAATAGGAATCGAATGATTTTTAAATAATTGAAATCGGTTGAACCGAAATTTTCCCGAAATCGCGACAAAAGTTTGTATCCGCACATGCACACACACACACACATGCACACACACATACATTCATTTTTTCTAAGGTATGCCAAAATGTTCAGACACCTCTATAACGTAAAGATATATAAAAAAAATATTTTCGATTTTTTTGCGATTACTATAACTTGCCCCACGGGAAATTAAAAATATTTTATTCTATAAAATGTTATTACGTTTAAAAATTTTACCATATTTTATTCATATAACTATATTAAAATTATGAAATTGAATTTGATTCTCAAGTTTTTCATTTTTCATTTGAGCCATAAAAAATATGAGTCATCGGTTTGGATTTCAATTTCCCTGTCTAAATCGACCTGCACGACCCTTTCTGGTTATGAGGAATAATATAGATATATAGAAGTGTATTCAGAGACAAAGTCCATTTTTCAGGGTAGTTGCTAATATGATGTAAAACCTGAATACTTTGTTGCAACTGACTTCGAACTACGTTTGAATAATATTTTTCAGCTATTTGTTGGTGACAAATTCCATTTCGAATTCATCTCTTGTAAATGTGCAGCTGTAATGCTAAATCAATTCACTATTCGGCCGATGCTGCCGCAAAATAGACCACTGTTATGCCAAGGCTATGATATGTTTAATTTCTCATACTAAATTGTACCATATACTGCCAAAATGCCATGTATTTGCTGTACGATCAAGCGTTTTTCACATAAAGTATGCAAGTTCAATCGTATGTTATTTAACATTAATGAAAAAGATCCAGTTATCATAAGATCGTTTTTGACATTTTTCTATCTGCCAACCTGACATAACCCCTGATTGCACAGCAACGACATGGCTTTTATCAGTATTCAGAACGATTTTGTATGAGAAATGGAACGTAACACAGCTTTGCCATATATATTATATTTATATATTATATATTTATATAACATATATTATATTTATATAACAAATGAAAATTTAAAGAAAATTAAAACGAATTAAAATTGAAACAAAATCCGTAGTATCACACATTTAAAATATACGAAATATGTTCACTAATGTTCAAAAATACGAATGAATTTTTGCTTGATCTAGGCGACCAAAAAATTTTACAACGACATTTGTTGGTCAATTTTGTCAAAAATTAATCGGTCTTTGCATTTTGGATGAGACGCATCAGACCATGTTTGTCTTCTGAATCCAACATTAGTATTTATGGCGACATATTAATTTCAGGTAACTTCAGAAAAAGTTTCAGAAAATGTACAGGAAACACCAAATACGTTTAAAAATGATGAACAATTGGTTACTAGTTCAAACACAATACATTCACCCGTACATGTGCTTTCCAGTGATGATGAAAAATCTGTCAGAAACCAGGAAACCTTGCCTGTGACACGTACAGGTATACTTTATCATTTAAACTAGATTTACGGATGTTATATTGTCACTGACGTGAGCCAATTTAACTCATGCAAAAAGATGAAAGTTTTTGGACAAAAATAGTTTCAAGGCAATTTAAATAAAATGTTTATTACAAAAAAATTAAGGAAAAACATTTTTTACATTGACTGGAGAAATGAATTTTTGACACATTAAAACTTCCAATCAATTTTTTGAATAAGTAAATTTTGTTTGCATTGTGATTTAGTAAAGTAATGGCAAATATAAGGCATAACACGACATGTATTTGTAGTTAAAAAATCTGTCAAATTGAATTAAATAACTCTATCTGCCAAACATATACTGTATTGTATATTATTTTAATTTCTGGCACACCTCAGCTGCTTTTTGGCAATAATAATGTAAACTAATTCATAATCATGAATATATTATATTCTAATATTGTCTAGACTCATAAGTGAACTGAAATTATTGTCAGATGACAGTTCTCATTTGTTTTCAATACTAAACCATGTCTGAATTATTTTCAATGTCAAACAATGACATGTCGTATTTTGCAATTTTTTCCATTTAATAATACAATATTACAATAGTTTTATAATCATTTACATTCTAAAAAATTTCTTCAACAAACTTCAGAAAGATTTATCAAAATTAGAATAATCGTTTAGGAGGAGTAACTCGACTTACACTCGTATAGAAGAATTTTATATATATAAGATATTAAAACGGGTGTGTTGAGGCAGGCAATATCACCATGTAAAAAAAACTAAAGCACTTAGGAAATCAGCTTTATTTATCTATACGTTTCAGTCTTCATCGAGACTGTCATTCAGTGGAAAACTAAAAAGTTTTTTTTTATAATTAATTTATAAGAGAAAATTGATACAAGATATTGGACTTAAAGATAGGTACTTACTGATACAAACAATTTAACACTACACTACACTAATTAACAATTGTATCACCAAGTTATCAGTAGTTCAAATATTTAAAAATAATTATGAATTAGGGATAAAAAACTAAATTTGTAATTTGAATTGTGTTTACAAAGATTTTTTGCAAGCTGGTAAAAACATATGGTTTCGGAAATTAATAAAAATGGGTCACGCTTTCTTCAGTAATAATATTGTTTGAAAAATTACAGAGCGATGAGGTGTCAAGTCTCTTGTCGATTGCTTTATTGTTTAACGATATTAGACAACCTTCACTAAATCTACTTTTAAATATATTCAAAATGTAATATGTTCTGTGAGCATTGTTTTATTCCTGTGTTGAGATATTCTCCTGTGTAGATTTTGGCTAGTTTTGCCAATGTAAAACCTTTGGCAATTTAGGCAATTTAATTTGTATACTAATTAGGCAATTTTATTTGTGTACTAGTAAATATTATTGAAAGAGTGTTATTTGAGGTAAAGACAACTCTAATATTGTGTTTAATGAAGAGTTTTTCCGTGCGTAGTTTAACGAAGATCGTTTATAAAGGCTAAGGTAATAGTTTCTACCTAATTTTTGCGGTTTCGATTTTCAGTTGAAATGTTATGGCGGTTCTGGAGGTATAAAATTTTGTTTTTGGTTATGGATTGGATCAAATGTTGAGAATAAGAATTTTTACTTAAGATTTGTGATGCTAATGAGAGGTTATTCTTCAAAAATTTGTTATGAGAAAGTAGTATATCATAATCTATAATAATATAATAATATAATCTATAATAAGAGGGTAATACGAAAGATAGTTTACGATCGACCTGAGTAAGTTGGTTTATGATACCAATTGGTAATTATATTATTATTTTCGCGGTCAAGCTGTAAGTCTAGGAAGCTCATAGAATTGTTATTTTCAATTTTGAAAGCAAATTGCAAAAGTTTGTTGTATGAGTTAAAGTAATTTAATGTTTTGTTATATTTTCATTTTGATTATAATGTCATGTACATTCCACTAGCTTCTGCTTTTCTTAAACATATTGTTTGCTTAAATCTTATCAAGATCATGTTTCTTGACAGATGTCCTGAAGATAGAAGGTACCTAATTCCAAAACGTCGTCAGTAAATAAATAAAGAAATGGTTTGTTAAAAAACATTTTTTATTACTTTTTGGATTCTTTGTTCGAAACTACAATATATATATATATATATATATATATATATATATATTTATATATATATATATATCTATACTAGCTGACCCGGCAAATGTTGTTTTGCTAAGTAAAAGGTATATTCTAAACAATTTCTAGAGAATCAAAAAAATTAATACTTTTAGTGTATAAGGATGTGTTGTTTGATTGCTACATACAATGAGTTATTATAAAAACAATAAACCCCACTAATTTGTCTATATTTTGTCAATACAATCAAACAGAAAGTTTTATACACTTTCTATAGAAAACATGGTATAATCCAATCCAAGACTTTGTTGGTATTTTGACTTGTTGATTACGTTTCAAGTTTTTCAGATTCTTTTTAGATTCGGGATTTTGTGTATAATTGTAAATAATACTACTGAACTTATAAAAAAATTTCAAATTTCTGCGAGGAAAGATAGAAAATGAATTAAGTCTTCTTCTTTAACCTCCTTTTTGAAAAGTTTCAAGTAACATTCGATGAATTAAAGTAAATTTAATAAAAAGTATATATGTATAACAGGGCGATGCGCAAATGTCCAATTTGACTTTGAGCAAATATTAATTATATTATATAAATCAAATCAATTATATCACAACGTACAACATTTCAAACGTTCGATTATCTGTAACTCTGCCAGTTACTTCATCATTGCAGAAATGTGCTTTTTTGCTGCCTTTTAAAAATTTGTTATTTAGACCTTTTATCCTATAGGCTGAGTAACGGCCGGGTGGCAAACAGGTTTAATGTCTTATTTTAATTTTAAAGGTATTATATAAAATAATTAAATTTTTAACTAATGCTAAAAAACTACCAACGGAAGGAAATACTTTTCTTATGGATTTTCAAAGATTACTGTTTATCTCCCAATAGCAAAGTCATGAGAATCAAGGTTATAGCTGGTTACACATTTTTTCTCTCTATTTCCAAATACTGTTGTTGAACGATGCTAAACTTTACTGGTTTTTGAGATAATGGTTACCTTATTAATTGTGGACCTTATTAACCCCGGATCTTCATATATTACTATCGATTCTTTGATAAATTTATAGAAAATGTTTCCAGTTTATTCTTCAAAATTAGTGGAAATTAACCATTAGTGAATTATATTTTACATTGCATTATCCAATGATTGCTGAAGTTTTTCATCTTTTTCAATTTATAGCGTGATTTAATGCAACATGAACGATACCTGACTGTGTCTAAAATGCATGGATTTTGACATATCGTTTATAAGGAAGTCCTTCAAAATTGTAGGACATCAATGAATCATTTTTCTGCTATACTTGTTCTAGTTGTAGAATTTATGTTAAAAGTTTATGTGAATAATAATACAACCGTTTATGCAGAAGGATAAAAACAGACTGACTGATTATATATTCTTTAACTAATCACATGCATTACAAACATTATTAACAATCACTTGTTTTACATAAAACAAAAGACAAACATATATACATAAACATAGTAGACACAGAGCGTTTAGTATCAAACTTCAACACTAGTATCAGAACTGTTGATACACTTAATTGAATGCGAGCATTATAATCAATTTTCAAAATATTTTATTCCAGAGAAAATGTAATTTTGTGCATTGACATTTTTGCAGGTGTGTATTCCAAAGTTATATTATCAACCGAATCTTCTTATTTAAGTTGTGATCTGTTATATCTGGTAATAAGTTATTCGACAAAATGTCCCTTTTGATCGATTCCAAATTTAGGTTTTTAATTTAAATAATCTAAATAAAATAATAATGTCTAGGAAATGTTTTATAAATACTAATGAATATAAAATGATGCAAATGACAAACCATTTGGCATATGAGTAGGCGATTCATTTGTCATTTGAATAATATTGTGTAGGAAGCCAAGTGCTGTTTACCAAAAATTTTCAAATTAACAATGTAAATTTTCTATGCGCTTTTGGACAATCTCTGGATTGGCACGAATCTTTCAAGATTAAAACTAGAAAGATCAGTTCAGCTATTTTCCAGTTTTAGCTAATCTAACATTTAGTCGAGTTTCATTTATTTATATATACTAGATGACCCGACAGATGTTGTCCTGTACCCACATCTACATTTTTTCAATATTCTATACTAATATTTACCGTTCAGTTAAACATAATAATTATTGCTTTTCGAGTTACTATTTACACAAATGAGTGATGTTAAATGTAGAACTGCCTCAAATAAAATTATGATTCTCAATTTCCACAGTTAACACTTTAATTATCCCTTTAACAAATATTAAAATATGTTTAATAAAATTGTATATTAAAAACTATACACTGCAATTTATAGAACAAATTTATTTCCAATAGTTCAATTTATTTTAATGCCAAGGGTTATTCAATACGACGAGTCACTATAGAAGTGTGTGGCTCGAGCTTCTATAGTGACTCGTCAGAAACTCCAGGAGCTTGGTTGGGAAGTTTTGATGCATCCATCATACAGTCCGGACCTCGCACCAAGCGATTACCCTCTTTTTCTTGCATTGCAAAACTTTTTTAGTGATAAGAAATTGGCATCAAGGGAAGAGTGTGAAAATCAATTGCTGGAGTTTTTCGCTAATATGGACCAAGACTTTTATGAGAGAGGCATAATGAAGCTACCATTAAAATGGCAACAAATTATAGAACAAAATAGTGCATATTTGACCTAAATCGGACAATGCAAAACATGTTAAATAAAGTCTTGAAGTTCACGTAAAAATAATGGATTTCTTTTTCCCCAACCCAATATAACAAACGTATTCTGAGTGGATAATAGATATTAATTTGGAAATATGAACAAACAACACTCTTTTTTGCACTAATTTATTAAATAATAATTGTCACAAACGTTTCGAGACTAGGTTTTGTCTCATCATCAGT